AGTGAATGCCAGTGAAAATGAGGTAGGATCTGTGGCCAAAATAGGGAAAGAACAAGTTAAAAATTACTTATCTAAGTTAGATGTCTTCAAGTGGCAGGGCCTGATGAATTACATCCTAGAACAGCATTTCTCAGATGCGGCAACCAGGGGTTTTTCTTGCCGCCACAGCCTCCTAGGCTGTGATGGGTGGGTGGGGGGCTCCCCCTCCCTGTCGCTCCTGGATGCACTGCCTTGATGTTGGTTGCTGGGGCTACCAGCAGGGATTGGATCCTGCCCCCTCTGGAGTCACCTGGGGCACAATGCTGGAGGATCAGGCAGCCAGTGAGTTCCCCACCTTCCCAGGGGTGGTGGGGCTCAGGCTTTGGGCTTCAGCCCTGGGGTGGCTCTGGCTGCACAATGGCAGGCCGCCCCAGGCTCTGGCCACACGGCTTCGGGCTCCATCCCTGGGTCCTGTCCTCCAGCCGCAAGGCTTCAGGCTCATGAAGCAGGGTTTCAAGTTCCAGCCCCCCCGCTATCTCCCCTAGCCCCCACTGCCTCCCCAGGGCTTAATTTGTCCCCAAACTTGCCAGGGCTGAGTAAGACTGCTGTGCAAAGTGATACTTGTATGTTTGTTAATATCACTTTTCACAATAGACCTACTAGCTAGCAATAAATATATACACATCCAAATTATTGTAATTTGTGCATATTTATTTGGTTTTCCTAAAGCTAATTAACTATTTTATGGAAAAAGTGAGTGTGGCCACCAGCAAGAGTTGGTGGCCATATTCTGAGGCCACCAAAAATTTGTCCTGAGAACTCCTGTTAGAATACTCAAGGAGCTGACTGAGGAGATGTCTGAACCATTAGCGATTATCTTCAAAAACTCATGGAAGATGGGAGAGATTCCAGAGGACTGGAAGAGGGCAAATATAGTGCCAATTTTAAAAAAAGGGGGAATAAGGACAACCCGGAGAATTACAGACCAGTCGCTTAACTTTAGTACCCAGAAAGATAATGGAGCAATAATCAAGCAATCAATTTGCAAACACCTAGAATATAATAAGGTGATAAGTAACAATCAACATGGATTTGTCGAGAACGAATTGTGTCAAACCAACCTAATAGCTTTCTTTGACAGGGTAACAAGCCTTGTGGATAGGGAGAAGGGGTAGATGTGGTATATCTTGACTTCAGTAAGGCTTTTGATACTGTCTCACATGACCTTCTCATAAATAAATAGGGATATACAGCCTATGGAGCTATTCTAAGGTGGGTGCATAACTGATTGAAAAACCATTCCCAGAGAGTAGTTACCAGTGGTTCACAGTCAAGCTGGAAGGACATAGCAAGTGGGGTCCTGCAGGGATCAGTTCTGGGTCCGGTTCTGTTCAATATCTTCATCAGTGATTTAGGTAATGACATAGAGTACACTGATAACATCTGAACGATATCAAGCTGGGAGGGGTTGCAAGTGCTTTGGAGGATAGGATTAAAATTCAAAATGATCTGGACAAACTGGAGAACTGGTTTGAAGTAAATAGGCAGAGCCTTGCATGGATACAAATTTATATCCGTGGAACTGCAGGGCTCTCCCAGATACCGCAGCGGCGAAAGGAGCAAAGCATGGGGCTGCTGCTCCCAGGAGCCAGCACCCCGTGTGGCAGCTCCTCCTGCATTACTGTACCACCCCCAGCCCTGCCCCTGTCCCTTCCACACAGCTCTCTGCATCTCCTGTCTGGGAACGTGCGTGCTGCTTGAACACAGGAGCGGGACCAAGGACAGCTGCCAGTGAACCTGGTTCCCACCCCGGTGGGCAGGGTTGGGGTCGGTACAGCCAAGCTGGAGGAACTGCCAGAGCTGGTGCTGGCTCCTGGGAGCGGCGGGCCTATGTTCTGCTCCTTTCGCCGCCACGTTTCCTGGGATAGCCCTACGGATACCGATTTATATCTGCAGGTATAAATTTGTATCCACGCAAGGCTCTATAAATAGGATGAAATTCAATAAGGAGAGATGCAGAGTACTCCACTTAGGAAGGAACAATCATTTACACACGTACAAAATGAGAAATGACTCCCTAGGAAGAGGTACTGTGGAAAGGGATCTGGGGGTTATAGTGGATCATAAGCTAAATATGAGTCAACAGAGTAACACTGTTGCAAAAAAAAGCAAACATTCTGGGATGTATTAGTAGGAGTGTTGTAAGCAAGACATGAGAGTAATTCTTCCGCTCAACTCCCTGCAGATAAAGCCTCAGCTGGAGTATTGTGTCCAATGCTGGGCACCACATTTCAGGAAAGATGTGGACAAACTGGAGGAAGTCCAGAGGAGAACAACAAAAATTATTAAAGATCTGGAAAACATGACCTTTGAGGGAAGATTGAAAAAATTGGGTTTGTTTAGTGTGGAGAAGAGAAGACTGGGGGGAGAGAGGGGAACACGATAACAGTTTTCAGGTACATAAAAGGTTGTTACAAGGAAGAGGGAGAAAAATTGTACTCTTTAACCTCTGAGGATAGGGCAAGAAGCAATGGGCTTAAATTGCAGCAAGAGAGGTTTAGGTTGGACATTAGGAAAAATCTTGTTAACTGTCAGGGTGGTTAAGCACAGGAATAACTTGCCTAAGGAGGTGGTGGAATCTTCATCATTGGAGGTTTTTAAGAGCAGGTTAGACAAACACCTGTCAGGAATGGTCTAGTTATTACATAGTTCTGCCTTGAGTGCAGGGGACTGGACTAGATGACCTCAAGGTCCTTTCCAGTCCTATGCTTCTATCATTTTATGGTAGGAGAGGGAGACTAGCTACTTGAGATGCCTTGGGTGTGGGGAAAGCACCACTCCAGTTGGCTACTGCCTTTAGTGAACCTTCTGTGGTTTGCTAGAGGGACATACCTGATCATATCAGTCTGAATGGGGCTCTTCTTTGTGTTTTAACAATTGTGGATAGGGAAGAGATGGGGAGAGGCTCAGAGACTGGCAGAAAGGCTGAGCAGAACAGTTATCTGAAAAATGATTGTGCCAATGTGGAGACTGAATTGAATCACAAGTGCATATCTTGTCACAACCTTAATTTTAGCATCACCACTGGTGCCTAGATAAAATTTGCACATCATGTATATAGAGGTCATAGCCATGTGATGAATTATTTTCCATAATTAATCCTGTATCCTTGAACATTTGACAGTGTCACTGCCCATCTCCCCTGGCACTCACTTGAGCATTCTTAATTTTTGAGCAAAAGACATTTAAAAAAAAAAAAAATCCGTTCCAGAAATGTTTTCTCTCTTCCTGTTTCCCTCCTCTCCCCCATTTGTCAGAGACGCAGGAATAGGAGAGTTACAGTTTTGGACCTGAGACAGCTTTTCTGCAAATAAAAAAAGTAATGATTTTAAAGTCTGATGTGTGACTAGGGCCCTACCAAATTCACGGTCCATTTTGGTCAATTTCACGGTCATAGGATTTAAAAAATAGTAAATTTCATGGTTTCAGGTATTTAAATCTGAAATTTCACGATGTTGTAATTGTAGGGGTCCTGACCCAAAAAGGAGTGGGGTGCATGTGGGAGGTCACAAGTTATTGTAGTGGGGGTTGCAGTACTGCTCCCCTCCTGCGCTGCTGCTGGTGGTGGTACTGTCTTCAGAGCTGGAGAGCGGTGGCTGCTGGCTGGGAGGCCATCTCTGAAGGCAGAGCTGCCGCCAGCAGCAGCAGTGCCGAAATAAAGATGGCAAGTTATGGTATTGCCACCTTTACTTCTGCACTGCAGCCTGCAGAGCTGGGCCCTCAGTCAGCAGCTGCCACTCTCTGGCTGCCTAGCTCTGAAGGCAGCAGCGCAGAAGTAAAGGTGGCATGGTATGGTATTATCACCCTTACTTCTGTGCTGCTGCTTCTGAAGCGCTGCCTTCAGAGCTGGGTGCCTGGCTAACAGCCGCTGCTCTCTGGCTGCCCAGCTCTGAAGGCAGAACAGAACTAAGTGTGGCAATACCATGACCTCTCTAAAATAACCTTGCGACCCCTCTGCAGCTCCCTTTTGGGTCAGGACCCCCAATTTGAGAAACGCTGGTCTCCCCCCCCCCGGGGGGGGAAATCTGTATAGTGCAGGGCTGGAATCAAGAGCCTTATCCCATTGGAAAGGGGAGGTCCCCATTTTCCCATTGAAACCCAACAGTCACTTCTAGTCATGGAAGGACCAAGGATACAGCTGTAAATGTGAAATGTTTATGCATAGAAGATCTATTTTAGGTTATTCTTAAGGGGCCATAGCTCACCAGAAATATGTGCAGTTGGTCTCCTGGTATTTCTGGTATCTGGCCTTTGCAATTGAAGAGATACAAAGATTTCAGTGCCTGATTAAAAATTTTTTTTAAAGTGCTTAGTTTTTCTACAACTTGTATTCTGTGTATGCCACACTTAGTTGGAATATTCTGTATAAGTCACTTTGACTTTGTTTCTTGTGAATAGTGCATCCATCTTATAATCATGTTGATTAAACCTTTATACCACACCATCATGTACTCTGTGTACAGGTATAGACATATGTGCGCACACATCTTTGTATGTATTTATCTCTCAAGAGAATCTCAATCTTACGTTTGTCAGCATGATCTTTTGTGGATTCAGATTTTATTGACTTTGGTGAAAGAAATGTCACATTTTCTGTATTATTGGGTTTTGTCACTTGGTGTTTATGAATACTTGTTTCCATAATTTTTAACCCCCCCCTTATTTGTCTCATAAATGGAAAATGGGGATTATCCTCTCAAGAGCTCACTAAGCTTTCGTTTGTGCAGAGCCATGAAATCCTCTGCTAAAAGGTGCTGTACAACTGCAAAGCGTTATCTTCCTACACCAGCCCTCATACTCCTGGCTGTGGGTACAGAGGTCGTCATTGGAGTGCACTTTTAGTGCGCTTGCTTGTCGCCATGGCCCAACAAGCCACATAATTTCAGCTTTGTCCAGGATCAGTCTTTTCTTACTGCTAGTGGAGTTGTGCAGGGAAGCCTCACTGTCTGTTTCCCTTGCAGACTAAAAACCTGGACTTCCGTCGGAAGTGGGATAAAGATGAATATGAGAAACTTGCAGAGAAACGGCTCACGGAAGAGAGAGAGAAGAAAGATGGTGAGTAGTGCACTGACTCCAGGCAGACTATTTTACAATGACTCACCCAGCCCCTTTTGAGTGTGAGAGGGAAAGCAGCTGGAAGCAAATAACAGGAATTCAGGACCAGTTTGTCCTCTGTTCCTTTTCCTTTGCTTGCCATAGAATATAATCCAGTGGGGTTTTTTTCATTATAAAAAAGAGGCCAGGAACCTTATTCCTTCCCTGTTCTATTCCATATAGAGATGGAGGAATGATCAACATCTGGAAATGGGAAGAGCTCAAAGTGTGGCCCAACTGGATGACTGAGGATTCTTTAGCAATCTTATTCATTATAAACTATCACTTACTCTGCTGTTCCCTACAATGCAGGGAAGAATTACTCTTTAAAAAATGGAATCCCAGCATGAACCAGATGGCCCAATGGTTCTCAATGACCTTTTTCACTGTGGGCAACTTGTGATCCATTGTTTTAGGTTCCCAAACCTTTCTGAAGTAGTTCTGTTTTTGGTTACGTTTTTAGGCAAACCGGTTCAGCCTGTCAAGAGGGAACTTCTGCGGCATCGAGACTATAAAGTGGATCTGGAATCCAAGCTGGGGAAAACCATTGTCATCACCAAAACTACCCCTCAGTCAGAGATGGGAGGGTAAAGCACCTTTATTTTTTTCCAGGCTATCATGCTTTCAGATGTTAACAAAGAAAGAGTCTTGGGATAGTGTTACGTGCAACTAGGGTCATGGCAAAGGAAGGGAGCCTTATAGTGTGCCAGTTTTTGTACCTCCTCAGCAGCACAGGAGGAATACTTTTTAGTTACAGCAACTTCCACCAACTTCTATATCGTGTTAGATCTGGAAATTAACTTTCTGGAATTATGGCCAGAAGTGCAGCAGTGCAAGCTTCTTCCTCCCTTACCACCCCACATCAATGTTTCTCAACCACTCTCTGGAAACCTCCTCTAGGCAATCTCTCTAGTCTGGTCAGTCCTTGGCTTCTTGGCTAAGACTCGCAATAAGAAGCCAGTTACATATTGAGATGCTCTTGTGATCTAGATACTTGTCCACTAGAAATGTGGCTGGTTTGCATCACAGAAATCCCCAAAGGTCTCTGCTGTAGTAAAGACTCTTGGTTACTATTGACAGGCGTTACGTTTGAGCTAGTGAAAGGCTCCTTAACCCATCCCCAATATTCTGAGCCATCAAGTCTCTGGAACAAGGAGCTTTAAAGATGGCCCAGAGTAATAAGAAGCATTTCAGTGGCCTGTTGTCAGAGGAAGGTAGCAAAAGATACCAAGAGAAATGTATGGATGGGAGAGAAGGGGTTAGAAAGGGGCTGACTGAAAGCAAAAATAAGCCATTGTACAACTGCAAAGATGGGCCAGTTTCTCTTCCAGCTCTTCTCTCACCCCACCTCACCAAAACATGGGAAGTAGGACCTGGGAGCAATCACTTCAGACTTTATAGGAAGTGGGTGCTGATTGTACTAGCTCACATTGTTTCTTGGACTCTCTCTGTTGTAGATAACTTCCCTTTCGCCCTGGGGGAGGAGGTACTATCCAAGAATCAGGCTTATCAGAGTCCAGACAATACAGTTCAATGCTCCTGTGTAATGTTGGGCTCATACTTATCATATTTCTGAATGCTCAGCATACTATCTAGCATTCTAGCTTTCTTTCGGTGCAGTATTTTTTAGTCTAGGGCTGCTGTCTGGAATTGAACTAGGCCCAGGTGAATTTCTCTCTTTAATTGGCATGAAAGGCAAATTCTTACAGGATGAATTTTGTCTTGTGCTTTGGAGCTGATCCCTTCTCTCTTTCTCCCCAGATATTACTGTAATGTATGTGACTGTGTGGTGAAAGACTCCATCAACTTCTTGGATCATATCAATGGCAAAAAGCGTAAGGATAATATATTTTCTCTGTGCCATGTTGCGTGATCACTAAAATACTGTCACAAGCCTTTCCCCTACCAAATGTACTTCCTTCTGTGTGGCCAGGGCCTACAGTGTCAAGTGTTGGCACATATGGAAATAAATGCTTTTGGTATTAGGATTTACCCAGCATTTGCTGGTGAGGGTCATGGAAATGCTGACTTATCTCCTAACAACTTCTCCATGGTGCTGGAGGCCACTGGTGTGAAATGAGCTCAGGAGAAATTGCAACAGTTAAGCCCTTCATTGGACTGGGAGTGAGAAAATGCTTCAGAATTTCTGTTGTCAGAGAAGCCCATTGTCGTCAAGCTGTGCAGTTCCTCAGGGAACTTTAAAAGTGGATGATAAATATCATTGGCGTGTCAATGTTAGAAGGAAATTTCTAAGGAAGGAATAGGGATATGTCCCCTGATGGCTAGATCCCTTTCTTAGAGGGAAGTGGAGCATAATGAATTCCTGAGCTCTGATACCAACTCTGACCTGGTCTCCCTCCATGGTTCTGAGCAAGGTACTCAACCTCTGAGTCTGTTTCCTCATCTCTAAAACATGGATCAAATGCACAGGGGTGTTGTGGGGATTAACTACTTTGTTTATAAAGAATTATTGAATTGCCTTGTAGAGCCATACTGTGCAAGCCATGTGCTGGGCTCCTGTTGATAACAACACAACCATTTAGGCTTGGGCTTAGGTGGGATCAAAAGGTTCCATGGCATGAAGTATAAAAAGCTATCCCTCATCCTCTGGACCAACTGTCATTTCCTTTTCCTATTTGTGTGATCATTCATGGAAGTAGGAACTCCTATTCTCTCAACTTTATCTTCTGGTTAATTTAAATTTAACATTGGCTTAGCTTTCCTATTTTATAATTAGGTAGAGCTGTAGTATTGAATTTTTAAAATAAATTTGTAGTGACTGAGCAATTCTGTTGGTCTTGACTCCATTGGAATTGCAGCTGACCCAGAATGAGAGGCTGGATTCACAAAGTATGCTTCTTGCTGAGCAGAATATCTACTGTAGATCAGCCTGTTAGTGAGTAGAGCGCTTAGGAGAGCAGAACTGTCCCAGCAGGTGTTCATCCTGTGTGGCTTTGTCCCCCATAAAGCATGATGGGAGTGGAGAAGGAAGTCTTCCTGATGGAGGAGGATTTGACTCCATGCCCTTGCTCTTCAAAGCTGATTAATTCATCAGTGTCTAAGTCCTCAGGTGGGAGTCTGTGTTCTCTGCCTTTGAGGTCAGCATTGTCCAGACATTAATCAGAGGCCATCATCATCAAGGCAGGCACAGATACCGTTTTATCCAAGGAAGCAGGGGACAGAGTTTGGCTCCTTCACTTCAGGTCGGAAGTGAAGAAGGAGGGCAAGACAATACCAACAAGCTTTGATTTCTTCATTTGTCGATATGGAAAAAAAGTGGTGGAAAAGGAGATCTCAACATCCTAGTTCAAAGTGATCAGTCAGAGTTCTCAGTCTAAGTAGTCCTCAGTCCTGAGTGTAGTAGGAAGAGAACATGAGATATAAACCCTTGTATTAGAGGCTGGGGCATGAGACCTGAGCTAAAGTAGTGGGCAACCTTTGCTGATATAAAGCAAAGTTAGCAAAAGTCAGGCTGTGAACAAACATCAGGCTCTGCCTGCTTGCAAGTTCACAGAATGTGGCCAGGACAGAGCTGATATTGCAGAAACACACATTCCTAAGAAGTGCTAGGCACAGAGTACTCACACAAACACATTCCAGAAGAATGGTACCAGTATATCCCAATATTAAGGATGATACAAAAACATTCCCCACAGATAACAGGAACACACTGACCCCTCCTGAAAGATATGGTCAGGATGACCGTATGATGAATAAAGATGTTTTGATCGATCCAACATGTACAAGGAGATGGGTGATAACTAGCACGTCATGGGGGCAGTATGTAACTTGTTTTTATCAGGGTATAAAGAGGTATCTCTGAGAGTGTGTCTTGGTCCAGCCGAGGGGGAAATGGAAAGTCCCTCCATTTGCTGAGTTGCGTCCGTTGTCACGGGCATACGTTTAGTATCCTTGTAGAGTCTGCCAGGTGCTATTACCGTGTTTTATTGACAATAAACCTGGCCTGGTGCTTTTGTACCTTAATGGATCTCGTAGACATTGGGCGCTTCGCTCGAGGTCTGCTGTGCCAGCTGTCTGCGCAGAGCTGGGGCAGCACACAGGGAGAACACACACATGCAGCCGAACATCTAACAACATTGAGAATCCATCTGTTCTGAGGAACTTACCAGTGGTGGTTTCATCCGTTCTTAAAGCTTTTGACAACTCCTCCTTCTGTGGGGGGAGACCAATTGGATCTAGTTTTGCAGTCTACACTAATTAAGCCTTTATACCATCTAAAAGCAGAAATTTTAGAGGACATGGATGAGAACCCTTACTGTTCTCTCAGTGGAGGATCTGTTGATCTGACTTTGCAGCTGGAATGTGGATCTGTAGCTTGTAAGGGATTAGTATAATTTGACTCTACTATGGAACACTGAAAGATCTGATCAGTCCAAGTTAACAGAAACGTACTTTAGCATTGTTCCAGGAACTGACAGTAAAAAGTGCCACTTTCACTAGTAGGTCCTTCCCCATGTGCTGATTTTATGTCTGGTGCAGTGTCATACAAGAGTAACAAACACCACCATTTTAGGATTCTGTGGCAGTTGGAGGCAGCCACTGTTGCATTCATCATAAATATGGTCTATGCTGTAACTGGTTTCAACATCTTCTGAGTATTCAAGGGTGAAGGTCCTTAGAGTTTCTGTTTCTAATTCCTATATTACTTTCATATCCCTGTCTCCTAGAAAGAAGGAATTGGTTAAAAACTGGGGAAGGAGAAATAAGAGGAGGAAATAGTGTAGAAAACAATCCTCCGTCTGTGGAGTCTATGGTCCTTTCTTCTGTGTCATCACCAGAAGATTCCAAGGCCTTTCTAGAGATCATAATCTAGATGCCCAAGGCTCTGGACCTTCCCCTCTCTGTAGCCCAAAATGAAAAGTCTCAGAATTTTTGATATGTTCTTGGTTGTGCAGAGAGCAAAAAGGTTGCTGACCCAATACTAAGGGTCTTTTGGATATAGCTAGGAAGTTGTGGGCTCATCTGGCCACAGTACCAGCAATAGTAAAGGAAATGAATTGGCCAAATTCAATCATATTTGTGGAGTACTTAGATGATACAGTGGTGTGGGCCATATGAGAATGTAGATAGATCTTCAGTCTTCCTGTTGAAAAGACCCAAATATCAATTATCTATTTTTTCCCTTGTGGATCTCTCATGCATTTGAAAAGGAAGATAGTGGCAATATAAGTCCCTTATGTCCCACTTTTATAGAGACCACTTTCTACCTCAAAGCCATTGTTCCTCTGCCAAAGAGCAGGTTTCATGACATCTATAGAAGCCCCAAATAGTTTCTTTACTCATCTGTTCCCCTTATAATACTTTTTGAGGATAGACTGCTTCATGTTTTCTTTTCCATTTCAGTCAGACGAATGGATGCTAGAAATGATTGGAAATGGCAGTTGTTTTGTATTTTTGATCTCTTTTTAGGGGGTCTTTCTCACAAGATGGTGCTATGGGGGAAAAATTACTTCCCTTTTAAAAAGCAACAGAGGGTCCTGTGGCACCTTTGAGACTAACAGAAGTATTGGGAGCATAAGCTTTCGTGGGTAAGAACCAGAAGTGAGGTTCTTACCCACAAAAGCTTATGCTCCCAATACTTCTGTTAGTCTCAAAGGTGCCACAGGACCCTCTGTTGCTTTTTACAGATTCAGACTAACACTGCTACCCCTCTGATACTT